ATGACCTGCTCAAGTGTACGGGTGGCGGGAGTCTGATTGCCTCCCCTGGCCTGAGAAGTAACTGCGGCTGTAGTAAGTGAGACCGCCTGAGATAGGCCAGTGCAAATTGATAGGATATGAGCCAAGGCCTCCTGAAGACCTGGAATCACAATGGGCGCAGCTGGTGCCTGAGCTGGTGCTGCTGGAGCATCAACAACTGGGACCTGATCCTGAACTGGGGCGACTGGTGGATCTACAAGTGTTGCCCTAGCTGCTGTGCGAGCCACACCTCTGCCCCTACCACGACCGCGTCCTCAGCCTCTAGTGGCCACAACTAGTGGTACTGGTGGTCGACCATCTTGATCGGTAGCGCATGTCGTCACCATCTGTGAGAGGATAGAATAGCAGAAGTTTAGTACTCGGATCAACAAAGTCGCACGACAAGAATTTCAAGAATATGAAGTTTTTCCTAAAGGTTCTACAGCCTCTCAAGGATAAATACAGACGTCTACGTACGGATCCGCGAGACTCTACTAAACCTGCTCATGACTCGTGAGACCTATGTAACCTAGGCTCTGATACCAACTTGTCACGACCCTAAACCAGGACCCGGACGTGATGGCCCCTCTCGTGAAGACAAGGCCAACCCACACTTCCCATTTCAATTTTAAGCAGTTAAATAATAAGATTCAAGTCTAGAGCATGATAAACTAAGGTGTAAGCAGTCAACAATACAAATGTGCGGAAGAATAACCCAACACAGCCAGATACCAGGGTGTCACTAGTCATTAACATCTACAAGTTCTAATACAAGTTTGAAAAGTCCATAAACTATTACAAACTGTCTGATAAAGAGATAGAAATAATAAGGGGGAGAAACACGGGACTGCGGATGCCAAGCAGTTACCTCGTGGACTCCGAAATCTGTCGGGAGTTCTCAACTCGTACCGGTAGGATCCGCAATGCTTGAATCTGCACACGGGATGCAGGGAGTAAAGTGAGTACTCCAACTCAGTGAATAATAATCATAAATAAAGAATGAAAGCAGAAAATCACGTAAGGCACATTGCATGCTATAATGAAGCAGTAAAACCATTAAAATGGTGGATCAGTAAAGGTACAAATAATCATATAAGTCCAATTTAAACTTCAGGAAATACCTTTTCAACAATTAAACAGATAAATGACAGACAAATAAGACAGATAAGCACATAAAGGTTTTTGCCCCTCGGGCACAATGTCAACAATACGAGCCCCTCGCGCTATCTCTCACATCACAATGGGTACCGCGCTCACTAGGGGTGTGTAGACTCCTGGAGGGGCCCCTTTCGGCCTAAGCGCAATATCAAGCCATCTCGTGGCATCATCACTAGGCCATCGGCCTCTTATCAACAAGCCACCCCATGGCATACATATCTCAGGCCCTCGGCCTCATAATCATAATTAGTGTTTCCTCATAAATAAGCCTTCGGCCTTACTCAGTCAAAATACTCACAAGCCACTCGGACAATATCAAAACATGATTATCAGGTCAAAATATCATTTAAAAGATCATTTAAGTATTAAAACAGAGTAAACATGGCTGAGTTATGAAAATAATGGAATATAGCATGACTGAGTTCAAGTATAAAGTCAAAACAGTGAGGAAATATCAATAATAATCCCCTTAGGATTCAAATAGTCGGCACGAAGCCCAAATATGACATCCAGCCCAAATAATGATGATAGCAAATATATTTCAGTCAAATACACGGTAAAATAGTCATTCGGAATGGACTAAGTCACAATCCTCAATAGTGCACGACCCCACACTCGTCATCAAGCGTGTGGGTTACCTCAATATAGCACCATGATGTGCAATCTGGGGTTTCATACCCTCAGAACATCATTTACAATCATTACTCCACCTCAATCCGGTCAAATCTCTAGCCCGTGACGCCTTTGCCCCTCGAATCGACCTCTACTCGCGTCGAATCTATCCAAAATCAGAATCACATCGTCAAAATATGCTAAGGGAACGAAGCCCAAGCTAAAATAATCAATTTATAGCATAAATCCCGAAATTACCAAAACCCAATCGCCGTGCCCACGTCTCGGAATTCGATAATTTTTACATCAATAGATTCCTTATCTCCCCACGAGTTCATACATATCAAAAGTTCTGAAATCCTACCTCAAATGGTCCTTCAAATCCTCAATCAAAGGTCTAAGTTTCCAAGCCATAGTTTCCCCCAATTTTAACCCTTAATTTCCATTAATTATAGCTCTAATTCGTGAAATAATACCATAGGAATGAGTTTTAGGTCCAAAAGCCTTATCTCAATAAAGTTCCCTTGAAATCCTTCTTCAAATCATCCAAAAAGCTCCCAAGCCGACTTAAAAATGGTGGAATAGCTCAAAAATCACGAAGGAAACAATTTATATGTTCTGGCCCAGGCATTTTCGCATTTGCGGTCAATCTACTTCATCTGCTGTTCCTGCCTTCCTAGCCATTTTCCACTTCTGCGGCCTTCCCCCTCGCATCTGCGGCATCGCACCTGCGGTCCCCAATCCGCAGGTGCGGAAATACCAGAAGCAGAAAATTTGTAGCTTCTTCAAAAACTCCAAACTCTCCATCAACCATCCGAAATCACCCCGAGGCCCCCGTGACCTCAACCAAAACACAAACATAACCCATAACCTTATTCAAACTTATACCAATCTTCAAAACATCATTGAATCAACCAAACCACATCGGATTCAAGCCTAAGTTTCCAAAATTTTTCGAATTTCGCTTTGGATAAAAAACCCAAGCAAACCACGTCCGAATGACCTGAAATTTTGCACACACATCCCAAATGACACAACGAAACTATTGCAACTCTTGGAATTCCATTCTGACCCCTATATCAAAATCTCACCTATCAACCGAAAATTGCCAAAATACCAACTTCGCCAATTCAAACCTAAATCTACTCCGGACCTCCAAAATACATTTCGATCACGCTCCGAAGTCCCAAATCACCTCCCGAAGCTATCCGAATCATCGGAACTCACATCCGATCCCTCTAACACATAAGTTAACATCCGGTTGACTTTTCCAACTTAAGCTTCTTCAAAATAGACTAAGTATCTCAAACCTTACCAAATCCTTTCCGAACCCGAGCCAACCAACCTAATTACATTTAGAACCGATAGACAAAGCAATAAAAAGCAGAAATGGGGGAAATAACGGTAATTCATGAGACGACTGGCCGGGTCGTCACAGAAGGTAACAAGCTTGCGCATGTTTTGGCTACGGAAGGATCAAGGCAACCAAGCAGTACTCCTTTATCAACCATACTTTACCCGCCGAGTGCTTTTTGGAACTTGCTAAAGGAAGACAAAACTAGAGCACCTACTACTAAACTAGTATATACTAATGTACTAAACAAGCTAGTTGAACTTGGAAATCTCAATTGTTTTTGTAATCTTATTACTAACAGCCCCTCTGGCTCAAGTACTTTAGATGTCCTTAGCTAGGCATCACTCCTATGCAATGTTACTAGTCAAGTATTAATAATATTTTGTCATTCAAGCAACAAAAAAATCACTAGATCATGAACTATAAAAGTTATGAGTTTTCAAACTATAGAAAAAGCAGGGTCAATGCCAAAAGAAGTTTCGACTTTAGGGACTAAACTGTCACTTCAATACGTGCAAGTAGGGGTGTTTATCGTCGGTACGGAATGGTATTTAGACAGTTTGGTTCGGTATTTTCGGTATTTGATTTTTTAAAATGCTATACCAATACCATACCTAATTAGATTCGATATGGTTCGATTTCGATTTTTTCGATATTGTAATTTCAGTTTGTTCGGTTTAAATATTAACTAGTGCATAGAAACATAGACTATAATATTCTTAATTAAAGTAGTCACAAATGCAAAAATAAAAACGTTATAAGTTTACCTAAATTTTGACAAAATCATTGTCCATAATTAGCAGGTAGAGAAAAAAAAGTACATAAAAGAATAATTTTGATCATTAAAAATGTCTTGTTACTTGCGTAGAGCTAATTGATGACATTAGAGAATACAACAAAGACTAATCCAACAAATGCAACATTAATACACGCGCAAGAAACACTCCAAAACTATAGAAACATTACATTAACTTGTTTGGCAGCCTGAAGAATAAGAGTCAAAATCTGCAGCCTAACTTGTTCCTCTATTTTTCTAAAGGAGCTCTGAGCTTTACTGACAGGCTCAATATGAATGCCAAAGAAAAGTATTATGTAACTTAGTACATTACGTGTTTATGTAACTTAGAGCCTGTTTGAACATAGGAATTTTTAAAAATAAAAATAAAAAATTCAAACCAATGTTTGGTTATGAAAATTTTACATTTTTTCAAATCCAACTTGAAAATGTATTTTCGAATTTGAAAACTACTGAGAACAAGTTTTTCAATTGAAAAATTGGAAAGTTGGTATTTTTAAGTTTTACAAATTTACCCTATATTTTTAAAATTTATAAAAGGACCCAAATAAGTTATTAAATCTAGGTAACACCTATAACTATGCACCATCTGAATGAGTGGTCTTGGCTGTTGAGATCTATAATTTATACACTACAACTTCTATTAGAGATTGTTCGTACAGTTAAACAATCAACATGTTTGTTTCAAGTAGGATAATAAAGTCAAGGTGATTTTGATATTTTTTACAAATTATGGGGTATAAATCACGTTTTATGATTTTGAAAAAAGTACATCCAAATATGTTGGAAAAATTATAACCAAACACAACTTCATCTTCAAATCAAATTTTAATGAAATCCCAAATTTGAAAAAAATTCTTGGAATTTATGTTCAAACGCCTACTTAGTATATGTTTCGGGTATGATATCGATATTTCGATACTATTTTTTTAAATACCAAATACCCTACCTAATTTTTTTTGAAACCTTAAATCAAATACCAAAATATCAAACACCAAATATCATTTCGGTTTCGGTCATAATTTGGTCAATTTAGAGGAGAAATAACAAAAAAAATTGACGAGCACGAAATTTAGGAGGGAGCAAGATAATTGTGAATTCCATTCCCGCCATTTCAACTCTCCTCTTTCTCCTGGCCCCTCGGTTTTCTCCTGCAACTTCTCTCTCCAAAAAATTCTAGAGAGATAAAGAGAAAGAGAGACGGTGTGTGTGTGAGAGAATCTCAATGGCGAAGAGTAACTCGGATAAATCAGACGGATTGGAGATATTATCAATTGGCAAGCTTTACACTGGTCAATGGGATAAAAAATACTGGAGCTCCTCTAGGGTATAACAATTTCATCTCCGTTATTTCTATAAAATGTTTCGAATTTGTGAGTTCCTTTTCGATCGAACAACTTGTTTTATTTTTTTCGGATTTATGTTATACTAATGAGTTAGCGCAATTTAACATGTTATAACAGCCTACTTACCTTTTACTCTAGGTTAGCAATCAATGCTATTAGATAGAGTTATCTACAATTACTTTTTAAGTGACTTGATCGTGTATATAATTCTTATACCGTCCGTGCATAGAAATTAAACTCTTTTTTTTTGTTTACTATATGTGTAAGTGCATAAATTCTTATCTCAAGTATTTTGAATCGGAAATTCTATTTATAGATCAACTGATGAACTTTATATTTAGCTGAGCGATGTAGCTAGTATATTGATTTTTTAAGTTTTTGAAGCATTAGTGGTTGTACATATGAGTGTATTGCCATTTTTTGTTCTTCTCTGTCTGTAAAATTGCATAAAATTTAAAGTCCACGTAGTTTGAATAGAAATTCTGGTTATAGATCAATTGATGAACTATTCAGCTCATTGATGTAGCTTATATTTTAATTTTGGAGCTTTTGAAGCATTAATTAGTGTTACATGAGTTTTTTTCCCGGATTTCTTGCCTACCTGAAAACTAATGAGCTAAATTTTTGCGCTAATATCAGTGTGAAATGGATTTGTTTATTTCCTTCTGACTGTTAAGTAAAAAGCTCCATGATTTGATTGATTATGGATGACTAGCTGCAGCCAAATGCTCTACGTGATCTTAAGTTTATCTTACCTGAACTGTGTCAAATGCTGTACATTGGCAAGTTAAACTAAGTATTCTATACTAGCAAAATATGCCGAGAAATTCTAGTGATTTTTGAATTTATGGTAGATCTTTGGAGCTTAGGTTGAAGATTTATGCTTTCCAGTCATGTAATCTTTGAGAATCAATTTTGAGGGAAATCATGGATCACTTAGAGGCAAAAGAGAAATCGAGAAACATTGCGATTGTGGTTCACGTCTCAGTATGACCATTTCTCGTATTGATCTGGGTGCTGTTTGATGTGATGAAAAATGTTCCCTAAGTCAAATATCATTTAAATCATTTCCTGATGTTTGATTGGATATAGCATTACTGGAATGTGACAATGGTGTAGGATGAGGTGAGGCATCGGGAAGGAGTGTTTGGTGATTTTATCGCTATCACTGTGGAAACAATGTTTAAATGTTAGTATGAGCAAGTACAGAGTAGGACTGGAATGGAAATGACTTGCGTCCATAATAGATGTAAGATGAGTATCCTCATTTGTGTACAGGTATCCGGTTTTAGCAGAATTGTATTGACTATTCAGCATAATATGTTGATCTATGTTGGTCCATTTTATCTTTTATGTGTTACAGAGATAGTATACCTTTATTTAGGAGCCCACAGGCAGAGTTTGTTTGTCTCGTTTTCATATAGATTACAGTGTTGCTTGAAACTTCTGCTCTAAATATCATCAAGAAAGCACGACTCACAGATTTACAGCTGTCTCTATATAATGTACCGTGTAAGAGATATTCCAGTATCACTTAATTTGGCTTTTTTTTTTACTTGCAGGGCAAAGACCGCTATCCTTATCCTATTGGATACAATGCTCTAAGGACCCAAAATGGAATCACTTACAAAATGGAAATTCATGAAGGCCTTAACGGGCCATTATTTACGGTGTGTACGAAGATTCAGTTTTTTGTTTTTGTTTTTTTAACATGTTGAATGGATTTTTATTTCGTCTCTAGCTTTGGATTAAATAATTTCCTTCTCTCGGCCTTCAACAGATCAGTTCTACAGATGGGCATTCATGTAGTGGGCAAACTGCAGATATTGTCTGGGAGAGTTTCCAGAAAAGAGGATATCAAATAAAATTGTTGCGTGGAAAGAGATACTCCAGTAAGATTGATGGTGTGGAGGTGTGTCTTGTTCATATTTATGAACCAGTTAACATACTGTGATAGTAAAATGTTCTGTTCTTTTCCATTTTTAGATGTTAACTTTGAAATGTTTGATAATATTGATACTGTTGTAACAAGAGTTGGTCTCCTTGGTCTACTCTGAAGTCAAAACGTGCGTGCAATTTTGTTCTAAGAAGAACTATGTTTTTGGGTTTGGAGTTCTGATGGGCTGGCAGGATTCATTTGGACTGTCATTGAGCTTTCACCCAAAAGACTGTGCGCACAAAACATGCCCATTTTTCTATATTCATTTTGGAATCTCTAATAAGAAGTGCAATCAGTACGTTCTCCCAGAAGTCTTTAGAAGAGAATAAGGACACTAAAGGAGGATAGGTCATATCAAAAGTACTTTATATTTTGAAACTAATGGAACGGGTCAAATGAAGGAATTTTTTTCTCAAATTGTTTTAAGATGGTATGTCTAAGTTGGTAGTTTCTTGTATTGGAAATTACACGAGGCATCCACATTTCAGAGCTAGAGTGGCAAACTATTTATCTGAAGATTCATGCTTCCATTAGTTGGTACCTTGACTATAGATATATGGGTATAAGAATCTCCATTTTCCTTCTAAAGGTCATTTTTGTAGTGGATTTTACTGCAGAAATTAGAAATGAGCTTAAGTCTTCACTTAACAACCTTAACCTTTGGCCTGGAGTGAACTGATGGAAAGAAGGTTCAAATAACTCTGCCTTCATTAATGCTTCTATTTGCAGTAATGGACATAAATTGAACTATGTTGGCCTTTGTGAGTGACATGCAGTCACCGTAGGTGGGTCCAATCTTATGGTGAATTGGTCTATTGTTTCAGAGGATAAAAGCTAAAATATTGCAAGAGCACTCAATTCTCAAACCCTATCTTCATCAAGCTCCTTTAGGGACCTGTAAGGCCTTGCTTTATGAGTTGGCTCCTTTATGATGTTATTCTTATGCAGGATGGTTTGAAATGTCCTTAGTTAGTTATTGTGTATCTGTATCTAAAGATTCTTCAATAACTGAGTCATTTTCAAGGAGTTTGATCCGAATTGAGATAGTATATACCGTTACGAGCCCAATGAACTCGTGTTTCTGGTTCCTGGACTATGGCATCTTTTGAGAAGATTTGTGCATTTCCTTTTGGCAGAACAACAAATGATTTCAGTACTTTTAGGCACATTATGCTTTCTTTTGTTGCCAAAAGTCATTCGACGCAATTAACTACCTCAAAGAAAGGTTTGCTAATCCTAAAATTTTCTGGAAGCGACCATAATGCCTTTATCATATCATTTTGGAGTATGATCGTTAAAATAGTTTAGTACCTGATCTTATACATCATACTGCTGAAAGATATGTTGTAAATAGCCTACACGTCAAATTTAGTCCTTGAGATGTGAATCTAAGCTCGCCAAAAGAATTTTTTGAGGCTTGTTGTAACTTGTAAAGACACTCAGGGCAGTGTCTTATTATCTGTTCAATGGACTGTCTTGTACTAGTAAGATTACCTTTGTGTCAATTTTTTGAATGCTGGCTTGCAGAGTGCTTAAGTTGTTAAGATTCTTTTAACTTTGAATGGAATATTAAAAGATCAAAACTTAACTAAACGGGCCTAACGTTCTTATTTCTTTTCTCCTCATTGCGTGAATAAGTGCAGTTTTTTGGGTTCAAGAACACATTTGTTCAGAGGTTACTCAGGGAGTTGGTGACGAATATCAGTGGAATGCCAGAGCAGAATATCTTGTCGTCTAACTCTCTTGGGAATGAGACATCCGAGGCAGTAAAACCAACTGAAAACGCGGGATCAAAAGCAGATCCTAATCTGCTACCGCACATGGCAAAACCACAAAGTGCTGCAAAGAGAAATAGGAAATCTAGAACCAATAATACCAAGTCACCTGCCAATAGCAGTCTCAAAAAACCTCGACGTCAGAATAAAAGTTGCAACGTCAAAGCTTTGAATTCTGATCAACAGGAATATGGTGAACATCCGCATCCCTTTTCCGCAAATAAAGGGTCTCCCAATAGTTCAGAAGCATTGCAAGAGTCAGAGGCCTCACAAACAATAATTGAACGAGAAAAAGTTCTGGTTCTGGTCGAAGAATCTTTTGACAAAGATGATCATCTGAAAGTGGATAGTTTTAGTTCTCAGGGAGGGATGAAGCATTTAAATCCTGAGAACAATTTACCCTTAGAAGAATCTATGAAAATACTAAAAGATGGAAAGCCGGTTAGTGTGTCTACTCTTCCTTTTTCCCTTTCATTTAAAGCAAATGCTTCGATACACTTCATTTTGCATCATCTTTTCCTCTTTTTTTTTCTACTAGTTTTTTTGCCCTGTTTTTTGGTTAATATTCCCCATTTAAACAACAAAACCAAGAGTGGCCTTTTTCTACATGTGTACTGAATATGTTAGCTAGCTACATTTTCTTAACTTCTCACAGTTTGATAGGTCAAAAGTTCTGGAAGAGCAGGTGATCAAAAACCAAATGGCCGAAGAGAAGGATGAGGAACCACCAGTTACAAATGAAATACTAAGAATTAATGATGCCAATCTTTGGGCACCTGATACTTTGGATCACCCGCCAGGTACTATGAGGCTATGTGCTAATACTTACCTGTGCCGTGTCCCATAGTGCTGCATCTTGCATTATCTTCTAACTCTCTTCCTTGATTAAATTATTAAATGCTTGTCTTGTCATTTCTGTAGATGATTCTTTCAATCTCGCCGCAGATATGGTGAAGGATGGTGTAGCTGCTGTTACTACCGCTAGTCCTGATTCTCTAATAATTGATTCACATCCACAAAGTGAAATGGATACGTCTTGTTTGGAAGTGAACTCAGAGAGAAATGAGTCAGATTCTGTTGGGCATGAAATAGCCAACTCAATGATGACACTTCTCCTTCCTCGAGCACTTCCTCTGCTTAGTACATACACTAGAAAGAAAAAGAATGTTAAAAATTCACCAGAAATATCTGGTCGTAACTCTCAAGACAAAAATAAGAAGATCGACACATCTGGTAAACTGTTGCCTGTAACTTTCAAATTTCAGCTGATTATTGCTGCTCTTATAGAGCAATTTCTTAGTTTCTATCTCGATCATTGCTTGTTTGAAGATCTATCATGAAGTCTTTTAATTCTAGCTTCTTTTAGTTCCCTCTTTCTTTCTTTTGCAGTCAGTGAGCTTGATGAGACTTCAATGCTCAGACAGAAGGAAAATATTAACTTTCCAGTTCAAGATTATGTTCCAGCATCTACAGCTTGTTCCCTTGCAGAAGCTGTTGTTCCTGATAGTTTTGATAATGCTGAAGTTGGATATACTCCAAGTCAGGGTTTAGCTCAGATCGTACAAGTAGCTGAAGCTTCTAAAGAAGATCAAAGTGTTCGAGGTCTACAAACCTGCAGATCTGAAATCGAGGGGCCATCAATGAATGATAATTCAGAAGCAAAGCCATCAGTTTGCAATGGTGAAACAGGTGACTTTATCTCCCTTTCAATCTGTGGATTCTTTGATTGTGGGGCCTGAGTAGCTGCTGTTCATCCAATTTTCTTCCAATTAGCATGTGCAGAGCAGATAGCTTAAAAGGATGTCACATGCCCCAAGGCCATTTAATTTGTATCGCTGGCATTTTAAAATTTCTGCATTTCAAGCCTTCCGCTTCCCTGCAGATTTAATACTGGCTTCTTTTCCAGTTTGTTAGTGAAAAATGTTCTCTCGTGAATTCTAAGTTTGCCATTGTCAGTTTATTCAAAACTCACTGCACCCCTTGATTCAAGTATGACCATGTTCTTTGTCAGCTTGTCTCTCTCTATCTGAGATGTTAGGAAATGGGCTTCCCCTCCTGTCTACTAACGTTGAAAGATGGTTATTAAGCTTATCCTGCGTGTTTTACCTAGACTGATTTTTCAAAATTGACAAAAGGTGAATAGACTGATTGATATAACCCTGTAATACTTCATACTTCATCTTTTTTTTGTGATTATTCTTTATGTAGCTAGTCTGAACTTCAAAGCTTCCTATATAGTGATGAGATAGGAGCTCGCGGTCTCTTGAGCTGAACTACTCTCTGTAGATTAATTGATTGAAAGTAATAAATTGTTGAACAGGGACAGAAATAGAAAATGATGTCTTACCAAGCACACAGAAATTTGTTCAAGCACCAAAAAAGGAAATTAGTGGAACCCAAAGGACAGGTGCAATTATCAGTGGGCGCTTAGCTAACGTTCCACCTTCTGCTGAATCAATGGTGCAACATGTTTCTTTATCGAAACGTATCATCTGCAGAGATGTCAGAGATGATTCTGTTCCAGAGACAAGTGCCGGCATAAATGGGATGCGCACCTCACGTTCCTTGCAAGGAAGCTCTTCTATGCAGCACCAAATCGATCAATCGATATCTGCTGATGAACCCCACATTGATGGATGGCCCCTTAACTTCCATACAAAAGAAAGGTTCACTAATACCAGTGGTACACCTTCTAACATGGCCTCGAGATCACAAGAAGAAGAAATGGATTGGATGCTAAACCATACTGAAACTTCAAAGTTTCTTGATTCAACTGCAATCAAATCGGAAGACAAATTGACTGAAAAATTGTCCAGAGACCAACGCTTTGTCAGGTTTACTGGTCCTTTGTTACATAATCAAAACCAGAAGATAAATGTTTCTGCTGACACCACTGAGAAAAACGAGAATACTGAGAACATAAGCATGGAGGCCCATAAAGATTTAAAGACTGAGAGTGAAAGAAGTGGTGTTCTCAAGCTTATTGCAGGCTATGATCATCCCATGCCAGTTTCATCAATGCTATTGAGCACACAAGAAAATGATCTTTACATTTGTGTTTTATGCGGTCAACCGTTGCACGAGGATAGAACTATTTTCATGTACAAGGTCCCAATGGCAGGAGAAGAAAGGGGGTCCCCTTCTTTTATTGGTCATGCTTCCATAAGTTTTCCATCTTTTGGCGGTGCCTTCGGTGGAGATGTGAGATGTTTGCTCTTCTTCAATGGTATGTTGTGGGCCTATGGCTTGGTGTGTAGCATCTCATAATCTATAATTGTTTTATGCAGATTGAACTGGATAGTGCTGCTGTGCAGTTGACACCAATTGGTCAATCGCTTGTGTTGTTCAACAGTGTAAAAGCCCCAGGCTGCAGGTTGCATTTTCACTTGACACAAGTGTTTGGTCTTTTGTTTATATTTTAGTTGCAGAATAGATGAATGCTAATGTGCTGATCTGCCATGTTTGCTCTCAGGGAGGGTGACATAAAGTGTCGGTGCTCATCATGTGCTTCGAATCATTTTGAGGAAAATGCAGTAAAAATCATGCAAATTAGAAATGGTTATGTCTCTATCATTGCTAAACTGAAAACAATTCTAAGTGTATGTTATATATTGGTTTGTCCACCTGATCACCTTGTTGCTGTGGATGAAAGTGGGAAGCTGTACATATGGGTCATGAATTCAAAATGGAGGTGACTCTTCTTGAGCATTGTGGTTTTCAAGTTTGTTCATGTCCATCATAATATTGATCTTGCAGTGATTATAACTTTGATGGGTTACTATTAAATTTATCTTTCTTGTATTTGTATATAACCAGTCATTTTATCAGTTCTAGGGTCGAAAATTTTGCAATACTAGTCCACTTGACGGTAACTATGTGCTTTATTAATCATTTATTGTACTCTGCCACTTATATAAAAATTTCTTCACTCCAATGAACTGGTGTCCAACCAAGAGGGGTTGCTCTGATGGTAAGCAACCTCCGCTTCCAACCAAGAGGTTGTGAGTTCGAGTCTCCCCAAGAGCAAGGTGGGAAGTTCTTGTAGGGAAGGATGTCGGGGGTCTATTTGGAAACAACCTCTCTACCCCAGGGTAGGGGTAAGGTCTGCGTACACACTACCCTCCCCAGACCCCACTAAGTGGGATTATACTGGGTTGTTGTTGTTGTTGTTGTCAATGAACTGGTGTCCAGCTTAGAATTTGTGATGCTTCTTTATGTGATTTCTGTTTAGTTTTTTTTTGTTATGTAGTTTGATTTGCTCCCGAAATTCTGAATTTGCAGTGCGGAGACGGAAGAATGCTGTTTGCTGCCACCCGACTGCCCACCCTTTTGTTCAATGAAGTTGAAAAGAATACCAAAGTTTTCTAGTTTGGTTCTTGGGTACAATGGATTTGGGGAATTTAGCCTATGGTAAAATACCTCTTTCCATCTCAAGCGCACACCACGTTTTACTGTTGATCAATTTTCTTATATTGTTTCTCTTCATAGTTCACTTCTTTCTTCAGCAACTCATGCTCATTCTGTCAAAAAATTAAACAGATTAATGATTATAACTCCACCTTCTACACAATTGTATGTGCAAATAGCTTCAAGAATACACACATATACACCCAGAAAAACATATACATACACATTTATGTAAATAAGTAAATATATGATGAAGACGTCTACTGTTATCCTCGATTAGAGCTGAAAAGAAGACCGAAAAAGAGAATCAATTAGAAGCAGTATGTCAGAAAATCAGGGCTGGCTGCAGTGTTATTGTTTTAATGAATATGCATACTGCACATAATTTTGCTTTAATGCTTCTTGCTTGAAATTAATATGTATTATTTCATAGCAGCTAATTTACTGCAAACTTTATAACTTATTAATTTGGATAGATTTTGGTTTAATTGTTTTCTTCTTCTTACTTTTGTTTTCACTATTTTTCTTTGTCGCGAAGGATGTGATATGCATATGCTTGTTTCTTTTCTTCCATTCCAGAAGATAAATAAATATACAAAGCAAATCCAGAAAGATGAGAACTTCTGCTGAGCTTGGTGCATACATTTGGTGCTTAAGACTCCTAGAGCTTTTTATTTACTGCCCCCACTCAGAGTTTTTTGGTTATATTCAGGGATATAAAGAAGTGCATGCTTGTGTCGAAGTTTTCTGCTGCCAGTACTTCTGCTTTTCAATGCCTTCCAGTCAGTCTTTTTAGATGGCAAAGAAAGTACAGTGATCCTGCCGGGGTCACAGAAGAGACTATTGACGAAATAACAGATGTCACAAGGATGTCTTTCTTGGAAACGAGTGACAATCAACTCTTTTGCTCATCAGAGGATAAAGATGTGGCAATTTGGCTTCTGATTTTGACTTCTCCTGACCCAGATCAGCCTGCTTATGAATCTAGCGAGCAGCAGTCCAGCCCAGTTCATTGGTGGAGGCTCGCTCTACTGGTTAATAACACAATGATCATGGGAAATTCTCTTGACCCAAGGTATTCCCAAAATCTTGTACTAGAAAATTCTGGAAAACATATCTGAGAATCTTAATTCAGTGTTTTTTAAAATCGTTTTTGATTTGGCTATCGTTGATATCACAAAACGAAGGTGTGCCCGTTTAGTTCCAAGGGCCATTGTATATTTCATCATTCATCCTACAGTTTAAAAGACTAAAGGAGATTGTGGTTGTTGAAGATAGGGTAAGCATACATGCTTGATATCAGGTTTTGGGGTTTGGCAAACTGGCTTGTCCTCACTTGGTGGTCAATTGCAAAATCATGTAGTTCTTTACATGATTCATGCTCCCGAGATGAATTCCCAGAAACCTTTGAAAGCTTGTCCTCCAAATCCCTGTCTTCACAACCCAAAACAAGAGACATTGAAACTCATAGTAGCACGATGTTTCAAGTCAATTAGCCTTTAACTGATGTGCTACTGGAGTATTTGTCATCTGCCCTTTGTCCTATTATAATTTGTTACCTTTGCTTAAATACCACGGTGTTACGAAGTTGACCTGAAAAAGTTAATGCTGTGGGATAGAAAATGAGTAAAGTTAGAGCGCCACTGCAAATAATGTATGTTGTAGATTATTATCATGATGGAGCTTCTGATGATGGGTAATGTGAGATTTCTGATACTTGAATACCAAAAGATTAATCAATGTATGCAGGAGCCATTCAAATACTGGAATTTTTTATCTTAAAACATCTTGAGTCAACTGAAACATTTTTTTAATTGGTAGAGTTAATTGAAAGATTAGATATCTCTCAAAGTTGTTGTACGCTTAAATTAGACATTCAAAATTTACTTCCAGCAACTTTGATTTTACCTTGGTGGTTTTCTGGGATTTGGGTGCTCAAGAAGGGCCTTCTTTCATGTGGTGGTGGTTGGTTTTTCTTTTGGGGNCCCTTTGTATACTGTATGCTACTTTATATCAGGTGACAATTTGGCGAACTGAATATCCTTAAACAGTCATACCCTTTAATAAACTTTGTTAAAACATTCTTGGAGACATTAAAAATTGCTTGAAGAAGGTTTGTTACTGCCTGCAATGCAAGAAGGTTTCTGCACATTGTAGGCTAAGATATTTTGAAATCTAGATTCCTGAAATTTATAGTATTTGCTAGACTAATCCTCTAAAGATTGATAGCAGGTTGGTTTCTTGCATCAAGTGCTAAAATGTTTACAAAAGAAGTGCTAAAATGTAAATTTAGTGGCCTCTGATAAATAATGACCATTCAGCCTATCTGCCTCTCAGGGCTACTGCACTTGGTTTTTCAGCTGGTCATGGGATTATTGGGAGAAGTGATGGACTGGTCTACATGTGGGAATTAACTACTGGGAAAAGACTCCAAAATCTGCATCACTTTAAAGGTACTCTTTTTTTTGCAAGTGCTTTAGTTTATTGCTCAAGTCTTAGTAGTGATTGTTGAGATCTTTGGTCTATGTAAAGCTTATAAGTGAAGTCGAATTCCTATGCTAAATGTGCTTCTTTCTTTTTGGGCTCTGGACAAAATTACTTTCAGCTGCAAAAATTAGATTTTCAGCAATTACCATCAAGTTACTTCACATTATCACTTTCAGGAACTAGGGAATTTAAGAATTCCCAAAGATCACTCATTGGCAAAATTGTGGCATCGTAGCATACTGCATACTTGTATCGACTTTTAACTCTTTTAGAGATTTAAACAGCAGGATTCGCTCAACTGCACTGATTTTTTTTTTTTTTTTGATCGGTTTAAAAACTTTATTATTTTAATTGTCCTTTGGCTGGGGTAAGAGTGCCGTAGCACAATCTCTTCTTATTGAACACACTTCAACTTCAAAATATTGACTTTTTAAAAAAAAATATTGACTTACTTCTTCTGAAGGGTAGTGACAGTGGTCGTCTTTAAATAAGATCTAGTCATGTTTGGTCAGCCTTTCCCTAGATCTAGTCATCCTTCACCTCTCATCCTTACAGTTCACTTTGGTTGTGCTACAGCATCTTAATCCCGCTACCACTGAGTGGCATACTCAGTATACGAATTAGATGTTTCCTTTCTATATCAGTTTCCTCCATCTCTCTAGGAAGCATTGAGTTACTGAGATTGCTCTATTTACTCAATCACAACTAATTGGTGTATGTCTTCTGGTGAGGTTAGAATTTTACTAACATTCCTGATCTCTCTTTCAGGTTCAACAGTTTCATGCATTACTACTGATGATTCAAGCCATGGTGCAGTGGCCATAGCCAGTGATCGAGGTCAGGTGCTGGTATATATGGGATCTTGACGGGCTTTGTACATATTGAATAAGTAATTTTTACTCCATCTTGAACAAGTTAGATGGACGTATCTGCCCCATTTTTCCCGAGTTCGCCTAATGTCTAGAACCCGCTAACTTTGATAGGCATTGGTACCAAGAAATGAGGTTTTGATTGGGGTGCAAAGCTCTTTGTAAGTCTGTTTCAGATAGTGTATTGCCATGGTTCTAGTTGATCCCAAATCCAGTACAATCATAGATTGTAAATAACAGGTTAAAGTTGGATCTTAAATAACGAAGATTGGCTTCCCCTTTAATATTTTCTAGAACTGCCATCTAGTTCTTTGGTTATTTGTTTGACGTGCACTTTTAACATCAAATGATCAGTTAAGCTGTTGTGGTAGTATCTCTCTTTAGGCTAATTTACTTCCAGTCATCAGCTAAACTTTCGAGCTAGCAAAAATTGAAAGAGTGGTTGCCAAAATACGATTTTACCAATGACAGTATAGACTTCTTGTACATGTGATGGACCATTTTTTCCTCATAGACAGACATACAAATCGATCAATTATGCAAAAAGTCTAAATTAATCAATCAATCAATTATGCCTAAACTCCAAATCAGTTGACATAGGATGAATATTTTTGTTTGTTCTACTCAATCAAGTCGCAATGTTCAAATAAGAAACCAAAATAAAGGAAAAGGGAGGTACCCGGCTCTTTCGATCTGGCCTCTGGGCAGTACTATTTGGTAATTTTGCCCACGGGTTTTGATGGGCACCCAAAGGCCACATTAATCAAACATGGTCTAACCAACAATAAAACTGTGTCCCATTTTGAAGTACCTCAAGCTCTTCACGAGATTTCTGCTTGCATGATTTAGTACTTGTATCAAGGTAAACATTTCTTGTGAGTTACCTACTCGAATGCCGCATTGGAGCAACAGTAAAGTTATCTCCGTATGACTTATAAGTCATTTGTTCGAACCGTGGAAGCCGTCATTAATACTTGCATTAGAGTAGGCTGTCCACATCATACCCCATGGGATGCGGCCCTTCTCCGTATGACCTATAAGTCATTGGTTCGAACCATGGAAGCAGTCATTAATAATTGCATTAGGGTAGGTTGTCCACATCATACCCAATGGGATGCGGCCCTTCCCCGGACCCTGCATGAACGCGAGATACTTTGTGTACCGGACTGCCCTTTACGTGAGCTACCTACTCGTGTTGCATCATAGAGTAGCAGAATTCTAATTAAGTTGCATACCGCAGTTGCCAAAGCTAAAGGGCGCCGACCAGCATTCAGCATGATAGAGTAGAAATCAGCATCAACATATCAATCTTCAATTACCAAATTCAAACAAAAAGAGACGGTTATAGAAGCCTAGCTGCAACTAAACCATTTTTATTGATATAGATAATAATCTCAAGCTAATCTCAAGTTTGGAGCTAAACCTAATAAATAATACTCCTATGATGTTTCAGAGTAGGGAAGCAAAAGCTGGTCTACATAGCAGCAATATGACAAATCCTCAACCAAAATTAAAACAAGTAAATAGATAAAGATAAATAAGTAATCCAAGCTCTGCTCAACTCAAAATCTCTTAGCCGTTAAAGAAAAGGAGCAAAAGCTAAATAGCATCTACTTTGCCGCCTTTGCTGGACCATCGGCGATGGATAGCTTAGCCAAGTTTTCCCCAGTAGGGTTGAGCTCATCCCAAGCTTCAATCCATGTGACCATGGCATCTCCGAGCTTGGTGAAATAGGGATCTATCTTGGAAAGTTTATCCTTGACCTGCTTTGATAGCTCGAGGTAGCATTGTTGAACAGTTTTGCACTCTTTAGGAAGGGTTGCAGCCTGGAAAAAGGGGATGATCTCTTCTTGCCAGAAGATGCCGTTGTACTCCTTTTTGAGGTTAACAAAAGGGTTGCTGGCTTTGCTGTGCCATATGTAGGGCAGACCAGTCTTGATCCCCAGGCCCAAATGATCACATATGACCTACAAGTTTGACGATATTTTATGTCAGAATTCTGAGTTTCAAAATGCTTCATAAAGCATCAATGTTCACTTAAGTAATCTAGCATACGATCAAACCCCACAAAGAGATAGGACATCATAAAAGGCATAATACACAAACAAGATCTCTATTTTACCAAGTCACATTATTACAGGAAATATAGGAAGTAAGAGTACCTTGGTACACCAGCCGGCCCACATATCGTCGTAACGACCAATTGGCTGACCGTCACCCATGAGACCAAAGTACATTGCAGGTCCAATGAGCTCTCGGTCAAACGCCAAGTTCATTCCACACATGGGGAACAAAGTGCCTTTAGGAATTGTCATGACTGCGTCAACATACCTGGAATAAGATATTAATGTTAATTTGATATAGAGCTTTCAGATAATGACAAACTAGATAAGCTCAATCCTACGAGTAATTAGATAAGCTCTAAAATTTGGCTTACGGAAAGTATAAGTACCTTGTGTTCCTCTCATGAGGCTTAACAAGCTGTGTGGGTGCATCGTAGTCAGGGATGTTGAGCCACAGGCCATGAGAAACAGCTGTTGGAGCACCCTCGCGCATGCTGAAAGGGTAGCCGCGGACGAAGTCTGCACCTTCTCTGTATGGATCATACAGAGTGTTGAAGAAATGTGGGGTGGATGGGCACAGGAGGTTCTTTATGTGCTGCTCAAGTGCATTGATCTCCTTGCCAGATGGGTCTTTGGCCACCTTCACATCAGCAGATAATATTTCAGCACGGGAGCAAACGAATACTAAACATACCAACTTTTCAGCACTAGAGTTTCTGAAATCATGGCATTGGAACAAGATAATCAAAGTAGTAGTTTCCAATTTAAGTGCATACGGCAATAGGATAAACAAATTGCCAATTTGTGGGCCTAAGATTGAAGATTCCGGCATTATTATTGAAAATTAACTCAGTCACTTAAAGTGGATTTCATCAACGCCATGGGACCAAGTTAAAGAATCACACAGATCTGGTTGTGGAAACAGAAACGAAGCCTTTGCAACATCAGACCGACAATGATTATCACATGAACCGTTCATTACCAGAAGTGGGGGGAAACATGAAATGAGGTACCATAACTATTGATTACATTCAAACAATGGCTCAACCAGTAGAGAACAAATATAACATTAATCTCAACCCATACAACATTTAACTAAACCACAATGCAGAAAAAAAAAACAATGACAAAGCGTGAAGTTGTTACAAGATCTGGCACCTCGTTTATGCGTAAATATATACCAAAGACCTAGTCTCTATGGTGCAAAAGTGTAAGATCAATTGATATAGTCCTGCATTCAGTTGTCAACCGACATTACTTTAAATAAAAACCATATAGATCCGTGAAAATTTTCACAAAAAAACTATAAAAAAACTTACAAAGAGGTAGACAATTCAAGAGACACTAATAAAGAATTACAGTTTTATAAATAGAAATCATATAACATCGAACAACAAACATTGATATAACTGCAGATCAGAAGCTTCCAATCAATCAGATCTGCTATTCTTGGTCCAACATAAAATCATAACCAAATGCAGTTCAGCTGAAGAGATCCACAACAATTATCAAAACACATTACTAAATTTCCCAAATTGGCTCAAACATACATAAACCCCACAAAAGCCCTAAATTCAATAATTTAAAACCCCTCAAAATTTACCAAGATCCAAACTTTACCTTAAACCCCCTCAAAATTCACCAGGATCCAATTTTTTTCAACCCCACCACACAAAATTCAAATCAAAATAATCCCATAAAAAAGACAAGAATTTTGAGAAAATACTTACAAAGCAATCATCATCAATGGTGTAGATATACTTCTTTTTGGAAACCATGTACCCAAAGCACCTACAAGCAGAATCCTTAAAGGAAATACAAGAAGCTTTAGGACCCAAAATCCTGTTAATATCATTCCTATTATAAAGCTCATAATCAAATCCTTCAGGTACTTTAATGGTTTTTGAAGGGTCACCATCTTGAACAATAATTAAATGGTATGGCTGAAAAAATGGTCTCCACATTTCTAAGAAATCAAGATTTCTTATTGTGGGTATTACTATATCAAGCTCATCTTTCAACAATGGTGTTGCTGCTGCCATGGCTGCAGAAAATTGGATGAAGAAAGATTGAATTAGATTTTTGGTAACGAGTATTGAGGGGTTGTGTCCTATTTATATTAAGTAGAAAGAGTACAAAATAGAGTATGATGTTATTGTTGACTGAAATACTACTTAAATCTCGTCGGTGACTGGCTCTGTGTTTCGGCGAAGTAGTTTACACGTATTTGTACGGCTAAATTAGAATATTTTGATAGTGCGTGCTCCGATCAGTTTGCGCAAAAATAGGGGAGAAATTAAAAAATAACCGGATTTACAAGTGTTCGTTCAAAAATAACTCAATTTCAAAAAGTAATCGAAATTTAGTCACTTTTCGTGTAAAGATAAATCTGAACGAAAATATTATTCAAAATCTGGAAAAATACTCCAACATAATATACTGGAGTTCCAGTATAACTCCAGTCTAATATACTGGAGTTCCAGTATAACTCCAGTCTAATATACTGGAGTTCCAGTATAATATACCGGTCCAGCATATTATACTGGAGTTTGGAGCACCAGTGCTCCAGTCTTCAGTATATTATACTGGAGCATATTATATCGATCTAGCATAATATGCTGGAAGTTCATACACAGGTGCACCGAACTCCAGTATATTATGCTGGACCGGTCTCAGTTACAGCAAAATAGTGGCTTTTTTCATTGACTTGGTAAACGCTAACTATTTTTGAATAACAGTCCGAAAACTGGCTAGATCGTGCTATTTTTACCAAAAATAGAGCTATAATTCTAAGGGGCAAATGACAGAAATAGGACACTTCGGTGCCACTATTAATTTTTTGACCACTTACCTCATGGCCATAACTTTAAAGGGTTACTTGGTAGAGTATATAAGAATAGTGTTGAATATGACGTATTAGTAATGCTGAGACTAAGTATACTGAGATTAGATATACTTGGATTATTTCTTATCCACTGTTTGGTTTGATGTATTAAAAATCATAATATTACAGTTTCTCTGATGTCTCGCCTTCCTTCTTGGTTATAGGGCTATAAGTGAGTAGGGTGTTTGAAAATAGAGAGGTAGAGCAACTAGGAGTTAAATATTAGAAGAGCACCCTCTCTTTTCTTCGAGAAATCGAGTTCACCCCGATAAGTAACAAAAAGATTGATTAGTTTACCGCATTCATGAAAGCACTTGCTTCTCTGGTGGTCCTTTACCTTTCTAAAAGAGAAGAGTGGTAGTCACAGCAGTAGAAGGACCCATAAACCCTGAGGATCACTCGATCCCGACCGATCAATCTTCTGTCATTGCTATCTCTTGCGTGAAGGGTTGTCAATGCTCTTAATTAAGTCCATCTGGGTCTTCCTTCCATCTTTAAATTAAGGTTTAGACTCAATCGGCTGCTAATGTCATGGTTTGCTATGTATTAGTTACACATAGGATAATACCAAATAGGGTATATAACAAATAAGTTATACGTAGGCTGAAAAACACTATCAAACAAGGGATTAATAATGCCAAAGCTAATACATGTATTTATTTTCCTCTAATACATCCTACCAAACGACCCCGAAGTATATCAAATATTGTCCCATGAGTAACGTTTTTGACTTTTGACCTTACCGGTTTGACCATGAGACAAGTGGGGGTTAAAAGATCAAGAGCGACCATTTTCAAGGTCATTGAATGTAATTTGCTCAACAAGCTTATGAGTTCAAGATTTTAGTCTTTTTAAATTATTAGATTATAAACTAATTATTTATACATATTCAATGAATTCTTAAGATAAATACAAAATTTTAACCAAAACTACTGGTTTCGGCTAAACGCGTAAACTAAATGTTTGACCAAAAGATATCGAAACCTTTTTGATTAAATCAATTAATGAAGATGAAGATGTAAATTTTAGTCAAGCATAATAAACTCCAGATCTACAAACAAATCAGAAAATGATGCATAAGATGAGATATGGGCGATCAATCTTATTGAGGTTTTTCATTTCTTCTCTCACCAATTGATGGAGATGACTGTTTTACATAATCAATGGAAGATTGTTTTGTCTCCTTTTGCTAAGAAGATTACAGAGGAGAGGAAAGAGAGAAAAAACCCCCCTTTCTAGGAAGGTTCCCTCCCTATATATAGTCATGAAGTTCTTGCTATGTTTTTGCGTTAAGGCACCTTCATACCATGTCCGTTTTTGTCGTTCCCCGAGTATTATTCTTCGACTTAGGGGGCATTGTGAGTACGTAGTTTAGAGCAAATCATGACGTCTTTCCTTATCCCGCCGTTTGGACGGGGTCCTAGTTGGGTCGATCACAACGGTCAGATTTTGGCCAATACAGTTAGTCCCTCCGTCTGCGGGTCGTCTCTTGTCGGGCCCGGTAGATGGACTATGATTTTTTCTTATCTAAGAGAAATCTGACTAACTACCCCTTGGGTGTGATTTTTAGATTCAAGTGATGCAACGACGCTCTAGAAATGCCCTTGGACCGTTGCGGTCATTTCGGAACCGAAGCATCGTTTAACTTGAAACGTCATTCGTGGTTACCACCATTATGACACACGTTCCCAGGGGATTGAACCGTTTCATGCCCTATCAGCTTCAGTTGGCGACTTTTGGATTTCGTGCTTGGAGAATTTATGTTTCTTATAAGTAGATGGAAGGTACCTTTCAATTGGCACACTTCTCTGTCTTTACTTGAAATAAAATTGGGAATCTTCTTTTCTCCTGATACTTTAGATTTTTGACTTTCTCCGGTTAACCAGGAGCTTTTGCTTAGTCTCTTTTTTTTTCCTATATCTCTTTGTTTAGTCAAACCGATACAAATGGCTGGTGATTCTTCTCATGCTGACAAACCTGCCACAACTCCGGTGCCAGAAAACGATGTTCTTGTCACTGGAGGAGTAGAAGTGGTGGAAGATGTGGAGGTTCCGATGGTGGCTGAGATCTTGCCCCGCCCTGGGAGACCATGGAATGATTTCCACAGTCCCGCCGGGGAAGAGCTGGAACCTGCTCCTTAGATTATAAATGCGAAGGGGATTGCACAATTGAAGGCCAGGTGGGGAATCCCTCACCACGTCGAAATGCTACCGGCAGTGGGGGACGGCATAGTCCATTTTGACCGCCCAAGGTACTGCGCGTTCTACGCCTACCCCTTTATTGTTGGGTACACGCTCCCTCTCCCTCTCTTAGTGGTAGTTTTTTGCTGCTTTTACGAGGTATGCCCGACTCAACTTAAGCCGTACCTATATAAACTGTTCCTCATGCTTCTCAAGTTTGCGGAGCTTGCTGGCCGGGAGATCACTTTGAGGCACATGCTCAATATCTTTGCTCCTCAACTTATTCGTGGCACAATAATTCATATGCGCCACCGAGGGACGAAGAGTCTGGTCGTGAACATGGATGACAAAGCCAATCATCATTTTTACGAGAATTACTTCTACGTGCGGACCGAGCACCTTGTAGCGGATCCTACATGATTCACTAAGAAATGGAACTTTGCATATAAATTTCTATACTTTTGGACGGAATAATGCTCGACCACTTCCCTCTGGCAGTACTTGAAGTTTGTTCTTTTGTTTTTACAGCCGCGAAACTACCCCTTGTACTTGTTGACGGTATCCGCGAGTGGGTGAATGCCATCCTTCCTCATACGTCAGGGGTTCGCACATGGTACTCATTTTAAGAGAAATATGGACGCAAGCCACTCACTGGTGAGTAATATCATTTCTGTTCGCTATTATTCTCCCGCCCCTTTTTTAATTAGTTTCTTATGTGATATTCGTCGATGTCAGGGAGAGTGCAGGGAGAGAAAGGTCATCCACTAGATTTTCGTCAACCTACATCATCCGCTCGCCCTGCCTCAGTGTTTACTGCCCGATCTTCGTCAAGGGCCGCTTCAGTTGAATCTACAGATGTGGCCGTACGCACGGAGGCTACCCCTTGAACTGAGATTCTGAACCCTGTTACCTACCTAGCGGGGGAATCTTCCCGTGTCGAAGAAGGAGAGGGGCTATCAAAGAGGTGGCGAATTGATTCTAAAATGGCTCCTTCGGCCATGATACATCTAGAGGAAGACCTTCCCTTGACAGGGTCTGAGGTGGGATTTGATGCCATTCCGCCTGTAGAGACAAAGCCAGCCATTGAGTCTGCCCTATCGACGGAGATCCCTGCCTCTATGATTGATCAACAATCTGCCGCAATGGTGGGTCAGACTTCTGAGGCCGCTATTACTATTTTGGACGGGCTTCGTCCTCGGTGCCTGGTCGTGGTTCCTTCTCGGCCGTAGAAAGGGGAAAGGGTGTCATGGTCGATGACTACGAATCTAAGTCTGATCTTGATCCTAATGATGTCAGGATATTTAAAGAGGTTCTTACCCATTCGGTGGTTCATGCGGGAGGCCCGACTCGTATTCTTGAGATCTCATCGGACATCAACCTTCTGGAGATACGGAGGACCTGGTGCCGCAGTTTGACCTCTTGTGTTTTGCTATCGAGAGCGAGGCTCTTCGGAACATTCTTGATATTAACTTGATGCATGAAGTGGCCGCTATGGGCTTGAGGGTATGTTTCATTTTTCTTTCATGTTCATTCTATTTTTCTGAACGATCTGGCCTTAGACTGTCTCTTCGTTTTTCATACATACATGGTGGAGATTGAGAACGCTCCTAGGGCCAACACTTGGGCCAAGATTATCCTGACGATGCTGGAGAAATATCGATGCTATCGTAATAAGTGTCGTGAGATGCACGAGCGGCTGAAGGTAAACCTTAGTGATCGAGCCCTCGACGAGGAGTTGGAGAAGAGGGATCAACAATTAATGCAAGCTATTCACAGGAGTAACGTACTCGGGGAGCAACTTCGTGCAAAGGACGAAGAGCTTGAGTTGGGCAAAAGGGTTGCTGCTGAGTGTGTATATCTTCAGGGGAAGCTGAGGTTGATGCAATCTAAGATGGATAAGAATCTTATCAGCGTCGAGGCAATGAGAGCAGAGTGGATGGGGAATTGGCCGAGTTGGAGAGAAAGGTTGTCGGGTTGGAAAACATCGAGAGTGCCTGGTAATCGGCGTCGGCGAGGGCGGAAGCTCTAGAGAACACTATTCGCATCCTCCAATCCGAGCAGGAATCAGAGAGAGCGACGGC